GAAATTTTGTATGTTTTTCATATCATTGCCAATCTTAGATGCCCTGCAAAAAATTAAATTCTTTGCTGGTTAGTAGATATTCTCATTGATACCAAAAGACTAAAGGATTTACAGTAAGTATCCATCTAAGATTGACCTAGATATGGATTCAAAGGTAGCCCATTTCAAAGCCCAGATGACCAGAACGACCAGAACGTGTTCCAAAAAAGCGCCTGGTGTTTCTCGTCAATGTCTCGCAGAGTGCTCACACTGCTACTCGCCAAGGCCTGTCGGTTTGCATTTCGGGAGCCCCAAAATCCCATGGTGAAACTCATCATGTTCCCCAAAAAACTGGCCTAAAATGGAGAGTATACCCTATTTTCAGAAACATCTGGGAATAAATCAGATTCATCAAGGTGAATATGAGAATAAATAGGATATAGTTCGACATATTGTGACATATTGTGACAAACTAATATGACTGGTTGGTGGTTTCAACCCCTCTGAAAGATACTAGTCAGTTGGGATGATTATTCCCTATATATGGAAAATCATAAAATTCATGTTCCAAACCACCAACCAGATGAGGATAAATCAGATTCACCCATTTCACGGAAAGTGAAGTCAATATGAGTCAATAATTCAATGGGAGATCTCCAGGATCCAATTTATGGAGGTACGTAAACGTACCATATTTCTGGCCATATGAATTCTGGGGATATTCCCTTACATGGGCCTTACCATCTGGTTATTTAACATCGCCATGGAAAATCCCTTATAAATGGAGGTTTCTAGCTGGGAAAATCATCTATTTCGATTAGGGCCATCTATACCATGGCTATGTTAAATAACCAGAGGGTATATATGGCCATTGAATAAGTTTGACTCCGGAAGAGCTGGGTAGGCTACCAGCCGCTGTCCCACAACCGTTGACCATCGAGATGATCGTATCCCCCCTGGTGGCCTGAGTTCTTTCAGAGACCCTCCAGCGTTGATCAAAAGAGCGGACCTCGGCAAAACGAGTAGCAAAATTCATCATGGATGATATATCAATATCATTGGTTATTGGATGATATATTTGGCAATATATGGATGATATATCAATATTATATGTTATATGGTATGTTTTATGGTTGATATGATGATCTATATGATGATCAAATATGATCAAATCGACCATAAAGATCGACATGTAACATGACATGTTGTGGTAAATAAGGATGGACAAGTGAGCAGTGTTCAAAATCCTGTTGAAACAGGTTTTCTACTGAGCAAACGCTTTAGCGAAGCTGTCGCGACGGCGTCTTTCCACTTGGCGAAACGCGCAGCTTTTGCTATCTGGCTTTTTGCTTTTGCGAGCATGAATATATTTCAGCCCACCTAAAAAACTCTAACATTTTAGAAAACTGCTCAAGTACATAAGGATACATAAGGGTAATGAGTAAGTTGGGATCATCCCAATACGAAATATCGATTGTCGTCTCGAAGCCAAACGCCGCGATGTCGGGCTTGGTGTGGAACATGTTACATGTTACTGCTATGCTTATGATGAACATATCCTGAATACACACATTGCACACACCAGTAGACGTACCTATATACGAAACAACCAGTAGACGTACAAAACATGTTACCAAGAAGCCAGTGCACCTCACCATTTAGCGACATGAATCACAATCCTCTCACAATCTGGGCCCAAAGTAGGGGTATACCAACCATTTTCAGACCCATTTGGCCCAAATTTGGCTAACAGCCCAACTCCCAGTTTCCATGTGAATCAACTCTATGAGGCCCGTTGTTCAGGTTCTTTAGAGATCCCGACTCAGAGTTTCCACCGTAATAATTCTATTCGGGCTGGGCGATGCAAGCACGACTTTAACCCCCTCAAAATCCTTCCCCATGGTAAATTGTTTCATCATAGATATGAAAATCCACACCTTTTCCAAGGATTTGAACTATGAAAAAGTGGGTCAAAGCCAGGTTTGACCTCTAGTGTTGACCAATAAAATGCAGGATGAACTAACCAAGAATGTCACTCCCATTTTCCAAAGGTGATGATGCGTTTCAGGATAAACAATAAAACATCATAAATCGTTAAGTAAAATCAAATTACTAACTAACCACCACAAAAAAAAATGCAAATGAATCAAAGGTGAACTAATCGCTTGCTAACACCCTTGGCTATCCATCATTTTGCTGGGAACAACATGATCAACTCCGCTTCCCGTCCGAGACACTCCACTGAAGGCATCCTGCGCCCGTTCACCCAGGCGATTTTGGTGCGCCACCTGCTTCACGTGTTCCGCCGCCTGGGCCAGCAATGATTTACCCAGAACTTCCAGGCGATTCACGAAAAAACATCTGGAGCCGAGCCCACCAAAAAAATTGTGGGATAAAATAGAGGTTTAAAGTGGAAGGTTTAAACAATAAAGGACCCAGGTTCACGTTCGACCCACTTAAAAAAAAAAACAATCGGAATGTTCATAGACTGATAGACTACAAGAAGCATCGGCCCTTCACATATCGGCCCATGTTATCTGGAGGGATGGTCAAATCGCCTGCAGCCCCATGCAACCCATAGATCTGGCAGCATCACCAGCACTGTCCTGTGACACTGTGTCGCGTTGCGCGATGATTTTTTAGGGTCCATCAAAAAAAAATGACCATGAAAGTCCAATACTTGGAAGATCATTCCACTTAGTGAATGGTTGGTTATATGTGTATAGATATGTATATATATATATAATTAATTATAATTATATAGTAACCCTAGTTTAGTAAGTCCCCCTTTTGTGTCTCATCATGGTTTGCGGCTATGGCGAGCCAAACACCAACACACCACATCCAGTGTGGTGATCCCAAAAGCCCCGGCTGAAGGGCCCCAGTTGAGCTTCGAAATTTTCGGAGCTATTGAAATTTGTTACATAGCCATGGAAAATCACCATTTTTAATAGGTAAACCGGTAAGCCATCTATTTCGATTAGGGCCATTTCCCATGGCTATGTAACAAATAACCAGAGGGTATGTGAAAATTCCTTCTCGGAAAAGGGGGAAAAAGATTAAAGATGGCTAAATTGGTTGATTTTTTAGTAGCTTGATGATTGGCGTTATGGTAGATGTATCGAACTAGTTAATGGCGTGAAACTAGACCCAACACACATAACTGGGTGGCACCACCTTGTATATAAAGACCATGCATTAGTGCATATATCTACCATGACCCAATCGTTCAACTTGGCTTTCCCGACATTGTTCAATAGTGGCTACACCCACTAAAATTGAATGGTTGTATATAATGTCTGAGAATGGCTCATAACTACCATACAACCGCTATAATCACCCTTATTACTTATTACCAACCTAAAATAGGGTGCTAAATTTCAAAAACCCTAGCCTCTATAGGAAAAAAAACAAAAAAGCGTTATATATCTGCAGGTACTGTCATAAGTTTTAAAACACTTAAAACGACTTAAACACAAACGGAAGACAACCGATAAGCTACTTAGCTAATTAGCTACTAAAGTGGAAGCGAAAGAGTGTTTCGCCAAAAGATAATTCAAAAAAAAAAACTTTTTTTTTCGGAACTATAATTTTCGAATCCTTTTTCAAAAAGTGCTTCACCAAAATATAATTCCAAAAAAAAAATAGTTCCTTATTTTTCGGAACTCTAATTTTCGAATCCTTTTGCAAAAGTGTTTCACCAAAATATCCGCCGACCCCGGCAGACGCAAGGGGGAGCACGCCGGGGAATAAGACATTTGACCCTTGTTTCGAACTACTAACACTTCCTTCTATTCTATAGGGTAGAACTGCACATAGCCAGTAGCCAGCAGTCAGTCTCTTTGTGGGTGAGCAGCACCGCTTCAGCAGCAGAAGCCAAAAGTAGCTAAAACTGCAGCTGCAGCTGCAACACAGCAGGAGCGCCCAGCCATGGTGTTTCCCTGTCCGGGACGCATCTTTTTTGTAGCAGCCAGCAGGCAGCCAGTAGTACATATGGAGCAGCAGCAGCATCTCTAGCTGTTGGTTTCTCGCCTTGGAGACATATGACCCTTGTTTCGAACTACTACCACTTCTATTCTATAGGGTAGAACTGCACATAGCCAGTAGCCAGCAGTCAGTCTCTTTGTGGGTGAGCAGAGGCAGCTGCAGTTAGGGACTTTTTTGCTGGGACTTTTTTGCTGCGATTTTGCATCCTTTTCGGCATGAAATTAGGTGGTGACAGCAGCAGCAGCCGGTGCAGCAGAACAACAGCAACAGAAGAAGAAGGAGGAGAAGAATAATTCAAATTCAAAGATGACAACTTACTTTGGGCCGGCACTGGTCCACTGATATGTTTTACAATATCGTCCTGTGTCATTTCTGTGCTTCGATTGTATTCGTCCGTGTGATTTTGTTGATGTCACCTTCGTGTTGCAAGCCGGACAATAGTGGGTGTACTGCCTACACACTGCACCATTCTTGACACGAAAGCATCGTCCGCAATGTCCTTGTGTTAGCACCTTTCCGGTAATTATTGTGGATTTTGTAGCTTTGCCGCAGGCTGGACAGACATACGCTCGTAAGGTGGTATTTGTTACTTCTTGACATTCTTTGGTGTTCTCTTTTGTCTGTGAAACGGGGGTTGCCGTGGTGTCACTGGCTTGCCGTTTTTGGCTGCCTCGGTTTCTTGCAATCGCTTCCCAGGTGTCACGTAGAACCTGCATGTGGCGGGCTCTTTTGCGAAGAGGTTCCAGTCGCGCCGTGGCGGACGTGGCAGCACGCTTGCGGATAGCATCCTGCACAATGGCGGTACGGCATGTGTTGCACATCTGAGCTCCGCTTTTCCCAGAGGGTCGCGTGGAGATAAAAATGGAAAATTGCTGCTGGGGCTTCCGTTGTTGACAGGCCGTGCGCGTCCAAGAGCCACGAGTTTTGGTTTGGCATTGCAAGCAAACTCTTCGTTTCGGTTCCCTAGCTTTCCATGCTGCGGTGCCGAAATATTCCTGCGTTTGTTTTGTTTTGCAAATAAAACATTGCTTGACTGCATCACGGGTTAAGCATACTCGGTACATGCTCCATCGCGGGTTGTGGTGCTTTGACGCAAAGTGTGTTGCAGCGTGCCACAGGCCGCACTGCGTGCATCGATATGGTGTGCCTGCCTCGCGTTTCTGCGCTGTGCATTCTTTGCAGACACGGTAAGTTTCCTGTTTCCAATGTGCTTTGGTGAATGCATCTTTGCGTTTCATTTCCCCACATTGCGGGCTCCACAGCTCAACTTCCGAGATCGTGATAGACTCCTTCCCAGAACGCCACTTGATGTAGTTGGCCACATGGCACATGCCTGCCGATCCTGCCGCAAAGGCTGTAGAGCCACCTCCAATGTACAGACACTTGTAGTACTGTGGACCAGCCCCCAGACGCCAGGCCATCTGTGCATAAGTCACCTCAGCTGGCTGGGCCCTCACCACCACCACTTACTCACAAAAACTCCAATTGAATCTCTTTACTGCCGCTGCACCCATGCAACCGAGGCACAAGTTCATCAACGTTCTTCGGACCACGCCGTTGGTTGCCAGCCATCTCTGCCAAGTAGCGGTTCAGCTCGTTCTTCAAATTGTAAAGCACCGATGGACGCGCCTGATGCTCCAAGCAAATCAACCAGCATTCCTGGCAGGGTTGCACCACTACAGCTCTGGGGCTACATACCAAGACCTGACCCACATTATTGATACAAAGATTTGTCGTTCCTGCTACCGTTATTCTCACTAACTATCAGTTGTTGCTCAGACGCAAACACCTAAAATTCCTCTGGACCGATCGTTGTTCCATTAATGCAAGAAAAAAACACATCCAACTCCTCGTCATCGTCGAACTCCGCATGAACTCCTCCGCCATTGGCGCAAAATCTCATCGCTGCCACTTGCAATGCGTTGCTTGTCGGCTTCCTGGCAGATCATATGTTCCTCTTTTTCGAAAAGTTTCATACACATTCGATACGCATTCGCGCCACAACAAACGGCAAGCGCGGAAACAGAAAGTGTAGTTACGCCAAACATGATCCAAACATGATATGAAGATGCTCTGAAATATTTGCGTCATGTACGCATTATGTACGTATTATGAATTTACATGTGGTGCATGCGTGAGCCATGGAGGCACAAACACCAATGGAACGTGAAGCCGACGTCAGCGTTTTTCCAGATTGCACGCGTTGGAAGATGTTGGAAGCTTCAGCATCGTCAATATTGGAGTTGACTTGGATGTTTAGAGTGAGGTTTATGTGAGGTTTGTGACGGGTTATATACGGGTTATGTTTAGGCTACCTGGTTGCCTGAATCTTAACATCGTTTGTGACGTACTATAGAATAACCTGTGACTTTGCCAAGTTTGCCGGTGATGGCCAACGCCGAAGCATACTGAAGCTACACCGAAGCTTTGTGAGCAGCTAGAGTCTCGCTGAATGATCTACCGGCAGCTTCAGGTCAACTCAGACACTAAAGGATGATAGGAGTGCTGTTCATCTGGGTCGATGCTCAAATCATCATGTCCTGTTGCGATCTCAACATAGATGTCAGGTCTGACACGGCCCCCCATCGCAATGCCTGCCGGGACGGTGGAACCACGTCGAACTCCACACAGTGACAAACAAATCTTGGAAACGTGAAGAAGAAGTATGAAATGCAGAAATTGTATTGTAACAGTTGCAGACAAGTCCATCCTAAGGTCCTCGCTCTGCAAATGCTTTGCATGCGGATGCCACACTGACATCCGCCAAAAGAAATGCTCAAACCACTGATCTTGAGCGCAAGATTAAACTAAAATCCTAGCGACAACCATGCTACAACCATGTAAGTGCAAAACGCTGGCTAGTATCCCAAAAAGTTCTGGCATAGTTCTGGCATCAGGTTGCTGTCCGCCTCGAGATTCGTGGGTCTTCCTTTGTTTCCGCGTCCACGAAAGCGTCCAAGGCCAGGTCTCACTTGTCTTGTCGCGACGGGCTCACAAAGGATCTACACAGCAAATTCTCAGCGACTGAACTTCACAAATTTCCAAACCAGCCTGAATCCAGTTTGATATCATTGCGATATCACGCTGAAATCATTCTGATGAGCTCTTCAAATACTTCCCTACAATGTACCTGCAATGTATCTATACTATACCTATAATGTACCCATACTTCCCTATACTTGACTTATGTAGGGAGTATAGAAAGCAGCCGTGACAAAATCATAAAACGCGCGCAGCGCGCAGGCAAACCATGGAAAGCACTCCATGGAAGAAACGATGGTAGAGCCATAGATGGAACAAAGCAAGGGTGTGGAAAGATCTGCAAACAATGACCACAGGATTCGTTTGCAGCGCGCTGAAGCTCTGAAGACATTCATGCAGCAATGCAGCTCGAACGGCAGTATCTGACAGCCGCAAAAGCCGCCCAAGAAATGCAGGCAAACTCTTGAGGCCCCCTGCGCGAACCATCTGCCATCATTGCTGCAAAAGTGATCGTCAAAGTAAAAGCCCCTGCCAGCTTGATCAGGACGTACACGGGTCAGGCCTCGGCACTGGATAACAGCGATGTCATCTAAAACGTTATACATGCATTGTATCAAAATGCAGTGCAAATATCAGGCATACCCATTGAAAACGGAAAAGCCCACATTGACATGAAAGCCAAGGACATGACAATGACATGACACATGTTGGAAAAATGATCACAAAGCTGTCACAAAGACGGCAGCAGGACTGCTGTCATCCTCAGTCCATGACTGGGCGGAGCGCCCCATGGCGGGAATGTTCTTTGCACCACCTTGTGACCAAATCACGCTGAGATTGCACAAACGAATGTCGAACAAAAGTTGAAGCACATTGCAATAACATTTACACTGGATAAGTGCATGGCAAGTGCAGTGATCTATCAACGTTTGAACAGCCCAAAACTTATTCAAAACTTGCAACTATCCTTGGTGGGGTCAGAACAACTGCACGCTGAGTGTTACACTGGAAGCGTTCCCATTGACTGCGATGTCCACGCCTGCCGCGGTCACAAAAGTGCAAACAGCAAACCAACCACAGGCGCATGCAGCAAGGATAGAATAGCTCTTCAAAATCCCTGTGGCCGAGCAAATTGCCCTAGCTACGGGCCTCCTAAGCCGACATGGTCACATGAAGAGCTATGCAAAGGACGAACGAGAACACTATACCACTGTGAAAACATGAGAGCATATGAGAAGCTCATGCGAAAGCAACATACTGGTACTTCCTCGTAGTGCATCACTATTTGAACGTTTGAGAAATAATTGACTGTTCATGTGCAACTCATGTACCTTCTGCTCAAAGCATGCTCAAAGCTTCTCAAATCATAAATATATCATGGATATATCATGAATATCACACGCTGCGCAAATCATTCGAACAGCCTGGTGCATTTGCGGCGGCAGTGGCGGAGGTGGCAATGGCACCGCCGCCGCCGCCGGTGGCCATCAACGATCAATACATCGTCAACCGTCCATCAACGATCAACGTGCGATCCAAAAAATACAAAAACACTGAACACAATTGAACCCAAGATGGGCCAACATAGCCCCAAGCTGGGCCAACATAGCTCCAAGCTCAGCCAACCTAGGCCAACATAGCCACAAGATGGGCCAACATAGTTGGGCCCCTGGCCGGCGGTCGCGCGTAAGCGCTTAAATCCGGCGACGCCGTTTGTGGTGGAAGCTAAGCATAGCTTTAGCTACCTGGGGGCGCGCGCCTGCCGCCGACCCTCCCCAAAAATCCTTTAGCCTGGTGGGGTTTTCACGTTTTTCGGGGTCTGGGGTGGACAAAAAGAGGGTGAAATTTGAAGATGCGTTTTGGAGGTCCTAAAATCGGAAAAAAGTGCCGTTTTGACACATTTTTCGGACGATTTTTCGCTTTTCGGAAATCACAAAATGCTGTAAATTACAACATTTTTGCGTTTTAACGTCGTTGGCGGGAGCCATGCAAAAACGCGGAAAATGCTGTAAATACCAGTACTTTTTGGACCCGAGATGCACAAAACACTGCAAATACCAGTGTTTTTGAAAAAACAGTGTAAATTACACCATTTTTGGCGGGTTGATCGCAAAAAATGTTGGTATTTACAATGTTTCTGCAATTTCAAGCAACCGTGGAAGGCACGAAACACTGTAAATAGCGGTGTTTTGGCAACTTTTGGACGCCGAAACGCTGGCATTTACGCAGTCTTTTGCTTGTGACGGGGCCACTCCCCTGTAAATTACAGCATTTTTTGCACTTTTTGAACCGATTTTTTGTCTTGATGAATGCAAAAAACGCTGGTATTTACACGTTTCTTAAAAAATCGAAGATCGTGATGTGAACGAAACTCTGTAAATAAGAGTGTTGCCACTTTCGGGGACTAAAGCTGTGGTATTTACACGGGTTCTTGCCATCTCACAGCGCAAAATGCTGTAAATTACAACACTTTGTGCGCATAGGCATAGGCCAACATAGCCTCAAGATGGGCCAACATAGCCCCAAGCTGGGCCAACATAGCCCCAAGATAGGCCGCCGACCCTCAGCATGTCATGTTCGCAAGTTCAGATGACATCCCCCTCTCTCTTTCCCTCCCCCGACCCCTACCGGCGTCGCCGGTGTGCGAAGCTCTACAATAATTCCAAAAAAAAATATAGTTCCTTTTTTTTCGGAACTATAATTTTGGAATCCTTTTTCAAAAGTGTTTCACCAAAATATACTTCCAAAAAAATATAGTTCCTTTTTTTTCGGAACTATAATTTTGGAATCCTTCTTCGAAAGTGCTTCACCAAAATATAATTCAAAAAAAATATAGTTCCTTTTTTTGGAATTATATAGTTCCTTTTTTTGGAACTATAATTTTGAAATCCTTTTTCAAAAGTGTTTCACCGAAATATAATTCCCAAAATAATTATAGTTCCATTTTTTTGGAACTATAATTTATAATGTTTTTTTCCAGACATGTTGCTAATACAGTGTCACCGTTTTGGGACCAATTTTGCTGAAAAAAACCTTGTTTAGTATTAGCAAGGTGCTTAACAAGGTTTTTTTCAACAAAATTGGTCCCAAAACGGTGACAATGTATTAGCAACATGTCTGGAAAAAAACATTATAAATTATAGTTCCAAAAAAATGGAACTATATTTTTTTTGGGAATTATATTTCGGTGAAACACTTTTGAAAAAGGATTTCAAAATTATAGTTCCAAAAAAAGGAACTATATTTTGTTTGAATTCTATTTTGGTGAAACACTTTCGAAGAAGGATTCCAAAATTATAGTTCCGAAAAAAAAGGAACTATATTTTTTTGGAAGTATATTTTGGTGAAACACTTTTGAAAAAGGATTCCAAAATTATAGTTCCGAAAAAAAAGGAACTATATTTTTTTGAATTATATTTTGGTGAAACTCTTTTTGAAAAAGGATTCCAAAATTATAGTTCCAAGAAAAATGAACTATAACTACATAGTTTTTTTGGAATTATATTTTGGTGAAACACTTTTGAAAAAGGATTTCAAAATTATAGTTCCGAAAAAAAAAGGAACTATATTTTTTTTGGAAGTATAATTTGGTGAAACACTTTTTCGTTTCCACTTTAGTAGCTAATTAGTTAAGTAGCTTATCGGTTGTCACATGTTTCCACTACACGCTGATTCAATAGCTGCAGTGGTTTGCCCATATACAAACGGATAAATGTTTCCACTGCATGCTGAATCAATAGCTGCTATCTCAGCATTCATTGCACACCAACAAGCCTTGGCCAGGAATATAACCTTTTTTTTAAGTTTCCACCTGGAATTATGCAATTTAGCAAAGTAGGGAATATCCATTATAACCACTACAAGTGTATACAGTATCAGTAACCACTATCAACAAAACTACGCAATATCGTGGGGGGGGTGTTGCCATAGAGAGAATGATAAGCACCATACAACCATCATAAAACCACCATATAGAGCCACCATAGAACCCTTGTCCTCCAAGTAAGTGGGCTAATCATTGGTTCTATAACTAGTATATCTCATTAATGTCATCCTTACAATCATCCTTCACCCCATGAATTCATTATCCGTAACTTCGTAATATCTCCCATTAATTCCCATTGCAGAACAAATATATCCGCCTTTTTCGACCACTTTTTTCTCACCCTACCACCATCTAGATACATATCACAACCCTTCACCCCTCCACACATATGGTGGTAGTATACAAACCAGGTTAGCTATATCTAACAACCAGCATCTAACCACACATATATCCCATTAAATAGTCCATTGTTAGCCATTATTCACCATTATCAACGGCTATAAATGTTAGATATTCACCATTATAGTGAATATTAACCATTAACAACCAGATATTAGCCATTGAATATCCCATTATTCACCATAATTCACCAGTATTAACCACTATCAACCATGGTCAACCATTATCAAGCCATAATTTCCCCCGTATCCCAGTAAGTATCCCATTATCAACCCCTATCAATAGGGGAATCTCCACTTATTCACCATACCTGTAGGTTTTACATATCTAACCATGAGGTTTATATTAACAACCATAGAAAAAACATACGTGAAATATCCCATTCACCACCATCTAGCCATAGAACCATCTTCTAGAAATGCTCATATATCAACCATCTGTAGATTCAAATCTTTTCTACCATATTCTACAGATACTTCGCATGGTCACCCCCCATCAAACAACCATAGAAGAACCACGGTCTCTCCTTGCGCGTGGTGGCATATGCCGCGCCGGCTGCCAGCCCCAGCGCACAGACGGGGGCGTGGAGGACCAGGAGCCCGGCGGCGCCACCTTGGACCACTGGGTGGAAAACCAAGGGTTTTGACCGTGGGAAAACCTGGGGAAAATGGTGAACATCATAGGAAAATTGATGAAACCATAGGAAACTGGGGTGAAACCATGGGAAAATGGGGTGAAACCATAGCAAAATTGGACATTGTTCGAGTGAAACCATCGAAAATTGGATGATTTAAGCTAGACATATGGGGACATTTCATGGGATTTACAGCTGATTTATGATACGTTGGGGTTTATGGTACGGCTATCAAACTAGTCAATAGGGGTTTAATCTTGAAATTTGGGGCCGTATTTCATTTGCATGGCTTGATCCAAATGTCACACTGTTTTTCAACATGTAGAATTAGATGTGCCAGGGAGCCGACTCAATGGCCGTAACTGGGGCCCATATCCCCTACCAAGCAACTCCATGACCCATCTAAATATACCACTAGACAGTAGCATATGAGCCATGGTCAATACTCACTATATGGTTGATGGTCATCCCATCCATAATAAGGATCCTTATAATGGTTATTATAAATCCCTATGAACCATTGGATGACTAGCCCCTATTAATGGTTATTAACCATGAGTATTGACCATAGCTCATATGGCCGTCAAATTGAGAGTTTCACAAAATGGGATGGTCCAAATACCCCCATTTTAGATGTGAAAATTCATACCATTGGTTTTCCATGAAATGTGGTGAACCCTGCCGATGTTGTCTGAAAAACCCAATGTGGCATTTTTAAATTCATCTAAAATCATGAAAAATCATCTAAAAACATGAAAAATCATCTAAAATCATTCAGAATCATCTAGAATCACCAATTTCTGCTGGTAATTGCATGGCCATGTTTACCCCAAGTCTTCTGTGGAACCCACCCTCTGGACCCCGCAACCGCCAAGCCAGCCACTCACTGCTGCCGCGCTCACAGCTTTCTGTCGCCAGTTGGGCCTCGGTAAACTCACAGTTTGCGAAGCCATGGACCATTTATAGATGGAAAAAATTGCTTATTATAGATGGTGACTTATGGACCATATGAAAAAAAATCACCATTTTATAGATGATGTACCATAGTTTACCTATGAAAAATGGTGATGTTCCATCGCAAACTGTTAGTTTATGTTACCAGAGGGTATGTTGTATAAAATTGACCATAGATGATGTACCATAGTTTAAAGTTATGGTAAGTCATTTTTGTTTCATCATCTATAAACATCGTCGGACCATTTATTTGCTATGTAACTGGCTTTTTTGTGTTCTATAGTTCCCCACCTGCCAGGTGAGGGTTGTTAGATTTTATGTCAGTTGCCTCCTCCTCCTCCTTCTCCTCCTTCTCCTCCTCCTTCTCCTCCTCCTCCTCCTCCGCCTCCTCCTGCCTCGTCCTCCTCTTCCTCCTCCTCCTCGTCCTCCTCGTCGTCCTCGTCGTCCTTGCTCAACTGCGACCCGCGATCCACAGTGTTCTCTGCCGGACCTCAACCACGACCATCCACGCCCAGTGTTCCCTGCCGGACCTCAACCACGACCATCCACGCCCAATGTCCCTGCCGGACCTCAACCACGACCATCCTCGCCCAGTGTTCCCTGCCGGACCTCAACCACGACCATCCACGCCCAGTGTTCCCTGCCGGACCTCAACCGCGAGTATCCACGCCAAGTGTTCCCTGCCGGACCTCATGTGAAGATATGGGACAAAGAATGTGCAGAAGAAAGTTAGACAGAATGTCAGAGATAGAATGCCAGAAGATATGCCAGATAGAATGCCAGAAGATATGCCAGATAGATATGATATGCCAGAAGATATGCCAGAAGATATGCCAGATAGATATGCCAGAAGATATGCCAGATAGAATGCCAGATAGAATGCCCAGATATGCCAGAAGATATGCCAGATAGAATATGCCAGAAGAATGCCAGATAGATATGCCAGAAGATATGCCAGATGCCAGAAGATATGCCAGATAGAATGCCAAATAGAATGTCAGAAGATATGTCAGATATATGCCAGAGATGCCAGAAGATATGTCAGATAGAATGCCAGAAGATATGCCAGATAGAATGCCAGAAGATTTGCCAGATAGAATGCCAGAAGATATGCCAGAAGATATGCCAGATCATATGCCAGAAGATATGCCAGATAGAATGCCAAATAGAATGTCAGAAGATATGTCAGATAGAATGCCAGAAGATTTGCCAGTAAGAAAATGTATAAATGTCATGGTGGGGATCACACGAAGTAAAGTAATTATAGAGTTATGTAAGTTTACCAGATGGTAACCCAGCACCTCTGCGGTCCTTTGTCCTTTCTCTTGGAATATACGGAGGGGTCCGTTTGGTATGCCATCTATGATCATTGACCTACTGATTCTTGTATTGGGTGACCCCTCCATGAATTAACCATTGGGAAAAGAACATGCATATGTGTATTGTGGTATGGTTCAACCGAACCATTGCATTCATCATCATCATCATCATCATCAACCAACAACCATCCTTGTAACCATCATTAGTATTGATCATGATTATGAATCATTATCATAAAATAGTATGAAACAATATTATTAATCACTATTACTAATGAATATGTTGAATCAATCTTTTTGATAGATGATTATCATTAATAAATATGTTGAATCAACATTGCTTATCATTATCATTAATAGTTATAAAATATAATCGGTATTAAATAGTAATTATTAGTCATCATTCATCAAGCAATAACCGTCCCTTCTAATACGAATCCCTTCAGCTGCTGCTTCCGCCAAGAAACTCATGCACACCACCCCGAGAAGGATCACACAAGACCTGATAGCCATCGGAATCCTGCAGGGGGAAGCGCGGAGCAGTTCCAACATGCTGTGGTCTCATATTTGGTGGGATATACCCGTCATCTTTCCTTCCAGTTCTTTGAGAGTAACATTCGCAGTTCATGGTTATAACATGTTATAACGTGTTATAACAGTTATAACAAACCCATAGCCATACTCAACAAGATAGCATAACCCAGACACATTTCAGCTGGGCATCAACTGTGTATTGCTCCCCCCACAAGTGAAGCCCTTCAGGATTGGACCATGTTGGACCTATTGACCTATTGGGGCGATGGCAAAATATGGCTTAAATATTCGGATGATGGGATTCCCAAACGAACAAATCTATGGTGAAAATACGAAAAAAAGAAAATCCCATGGTGTTAAGTTTCTCAACAATCAAATGTATTTCAATTTTCATGAGCATTTTGAAACAACTGAGAGCTGGTGAAATACGGTTGAGAAATGACCAGACAAAAAGTGGGTTATTTATTCCCATGCTGACCTTATCACTTCAGACGGCTATGACAAAACTCTCGGCTCCTGTCTCTCCACACCATGGCCCAGCACCAATTTATCGCATCCGATGTGTGCCTGGCGAGGATACCAGGTATACCACAGATCTATAGCAACCACCCAGGATCTGAGAGACCAATACACGGCTTCCATCACAGACGCTACGAAAAAATGGGCAGTTTCATGAAGGCCTTTTTTTAAACCGCCATTTCTGGTAGTTCCATAGAAAGGGACCGTGGATGATTTCAAACGTGTGTAACATTGTGTAACCACTCTAAGCCATGGTATTCTACTCAAAATCCAATTTGAATGTAAATTATGCGAGGATTGAGTCCCTAATGGAGTTCCTAAGCAGTCGGAAAAACACCATTCTTCCAAATGGCGAGGTGGGGATGTGCAACTTCTGCAGAATTCTGTGGAGAACTGTAGAGAAGTGTGTCATGTCACATTTGTTTCATGCTCAGATACCCTCTGGTAAACATACAAAAAGCGATTGAAAATGGTGATTTAGTTCGTGGATTTACCCAGCTAAAAAATTCTGGATCTTTCCATAGTTTTTTGTTAATTTACCGGAGGGCACAGGATGGGGCCCCCCAGTTGTAAGTTGGTTTATAAACCATTATAACCCCCATGAAAAAAATAGTTATATCTACCATAAACCATTGAATTCAACCACTTATGTTCACCAACTGAACGCTATCTTGGGGGCCCCATCCAAAATAGTGGATTTACCCATTAATAAGATGGAATGGCCATAGAAATAGTGGATTTTCCCATGAAACATGGTGTGTGTCCTCTCCAAAACATCACTTCGCTTCGGCTCCGCCGATGTGTGAAATCCCGGCCGTGCCCACGCTTCGCCTCGGGCGGTGCCGTAGCTACAGCACCCTGCAAACTCTCGAGGTAGACGATGCGACCAAAGATCTGCGGTAAAAAACGTGGAAGCAACGGTGACACAGCTTGAGATGTCACCAATTTGCCTAGGACTTATGCTAGATATATCTATCGTCAATAGGACTTATGGGGTTATATTTTATTATGGTTTATTCATATGAAAGGAATTGTCATAATTCCTGTTAACATAGGGGTTCATATTGTTCACTCTGTAATCCGGAAATCCTATCCAGTATTCTGGGATGACCAGACCTCAGTATTGAACCCATGGTATCGTGGGGATCCCCCATGACTTAAGAAGACCCCACGTGATGTATAAAACCAACTAAATGATAAATATCTGGTCAAGTTGCATGAGGCTCAAGGGAAGCAATGAGAAATAGCTATGTAACTTGTGTACCATTACAATGATATTTAATACCATGACTCCATGTCAAGTTACATTGATAATCCCATAACAGAGTGTACTCAACCCTTACAATGGGAGAAAATAGTGGAGTTAAACCATCAGATTTGTGTGTGGCTTTTACCAGTGAAAATGATGGGATGGTACCATTTAACCATCAACAATGGATGCGGAAAATGATGATGGGAATATGTGTTGATTAACCCAACAAAAATGGGGATATGATATGGGGGATATGGGGATATACATTTTTTTAAATCAGAATGGGGATATGATCTGTGGTATGGTCATCCATGCCATAATAGGAGTCCAACACACAATTGATATGTGTATATATACCCTCTGGTTATTTAACATAGCCATGGAAAATCACCATGTTTAATAGGTAAACCATCTATAAATGGACCATTTTCCATGGCTATGTTAAATACCCAGATGGTGTATATATATATGTATATCCCCATGAAAATGGATGACCATCTGCATAATCCAACTTTTGACCATGGCACGTATGGAGGTTCACAATTGGTGAACAACATGTTATGATTCAAAAATGTATGTGTGTGTATAAGTATGTATATATATATATATATATCATGTTGAAATGATCAATAAGAGGAATAAGAGGATAACCTTATTCCATGGAATCTAGCAGCAAATGTTGTCGGAAAATGTCGGAAAATATGTTTGCAAAAACCACCAATGATGATGTATTTATGTGTATATATATATATGTATGTCTTATCAAATGGAGCTATCAAACCAGATTATTTCAAGCAAGTCACCAACTGCTGATTTGGGTTGATTTGTGGAACACTTTTTGCAGTGCTTCCCCGGCAACCGTGGTAGTTTTGCGGCTAGTTTTTTCGCTTAGTTTACAGGCAAATATGGTGTTCTCCATGTCCTG